TCCTGAGTAGCTGAGACCACAGGCTCACACCACTGTGCCTGGCTAATTTTTATATTTTGAGTAGAGACAGGGTTTCGCCATATTGGCTAGGCTGGCCTCAAACTCCTGGCCTCAAGTGATCCACCCATGTCAGCCTCCCAAAGTGCTGGCCATTACAGGCGTGAGCCACCGCACCCGGCCATGATGACTTTTTTTTTTTTTCTGTCCCTTAGTTCAAAGGCATGGCTGTATTAAGAAATAGTGTGGTGCAGTGGAAAGTATGCTAGGGAATAAGAAACCAGGATTTCAGTATTCTGTTGTTGGTTGGTGCTTTTAATATCCAGATTGTTAAAAATTTTGCTGGGCACAGTGGCTCATGCCTGTAATCCCAGCACTTTGGGAGGCCAAGGCGGAAGAATCTCTTGAGCCCAGAAGTTCAAGACCAGCCTAGGCAACATAAGGACACCCCATCTCTATTTTACAAAAAAATAAAAAATATATAAATTTTTAGAAAATACATCTCCCCACCTACACACAAGAAATGGGATTTTAATATTTAACCTCCCGCTGTCCTAAAACTATCATGAGACTCAAAACAAACCATGAATACTATAATGCATTTCAGATGCAGGAGTAACTATTATGATCTCCCCAGTTAGACAGTATGCTTCCTGTGCCTCTCCAGCCCCCAGTGGTGCTGAGCACAGGGCACTCCCCACGGAAGGCACTCAGAATATGATGCTAGCATTCCAACTGACCTCTCTTGGGGACAGCTGGCCGGATGAAGTAGGGGAGCTGCCTCATGGCTCCTCGTAGCTCCTGCTTCAGTGCCAGGACATATTCCCCTTCCTCTCCTGAGGGCAAAGGTACTGGGCGGAACTCCAAAGGCTAAAGAGGCAGGGGCAGTGGTCTATTCAGGGAGAAAATGCTAGTACAAATTTAGGAAGACCCCTCCTCCCAATTTAATCTAATATTCCACTGAGCAGAGGGCTGAAAGAGAATAGGGAGAGTAACATATCATTTTGAAAGCTGGGGAGAAGTAAAGGTGGACATTTCTTTGACTGCAAAACATCCCTTGTGCATTGGGAGTATAGAGACAGAGAGGGCCAGTGAGGATGGTTTTATGATGGTCCAGGAGGAATTCAGAATCATGTACAGTCAGCCAGGGGCACATGAGAGTCTGGGAAGGAAGTGGAGAGACTCACAGGGAAGAGTGGAGAAGGCTGCAGGGTGGGTGGGGGCAAAGTATCCCCCTTCCCAATGCCCACGGCCTCCATGTTGAAGGTCAACTGGCCCCGGCCACGACCCCGGCCCCCACCCCGGCTGGCCATGGTGGAGGGGGCCTGGGTGTTCAGAGATCCAGTGAAAAGACCTGATAAAGACAAAAACAAAGAGAAAAAGAAATGTAGTAGAATGGACAGGAAGCCAAGGAGGTACAAGACATTCAATCTTTTATCGCTGGGACATAAAAAGTCAATGTCATTCAACAAATTTTGACTGAGAAGGCACAGTGTCAGAGAGAGAATTTCTGGAAACATAAACATGAATGAGACATGGTCCCCCAAACAGGTCAGATAATTACAATATAGTTTAGCACAAAGGAGAAAGTGCTTAGACCCTCGGACAAAACTCTACATCCCTAAGACAATTTGATGTTTATTCCTATCTGCATTTATTTATTTTTATTTTTAGAGATACTCTGTCACCCAGGCTTGAGTGCAATGGTGCAATCACAGCTCACTCTAGCCTCGAACCCCTGGGCTCAAGTGATCCTCCTGCCTCAGCCTCCCAAAGTGCTGGGATTACAGGCATGAGCCACTATGCCCAGTCACTAACTGCATTTATATGTATAACCTTTGAATTCTTTCTATCTCTGGCCTTCCAAACCTGACCAGGCCCCAATTCAATCCAAAGAAATGCATTCAGCGAAACATTTATTAATCGTCTACCATGAAAAAGATAGTGTCAGGCACTGTGGGAGCACAGGGATGAGTCATCAATTTCATTGTCAACCAGGGGAAAAGAGACATTACAATCAAATTTTATTTTATTTTATTTTATATTTTATTTTAGACAAGGTCTCTTTATGTCACCCAGGCTGGAGTGCAGTGGTGTGATCATGGCTCACTGTAGCCTCAACCTCCTGGGCTCAGGTGATCCTCCTGCCTTAGCTTCCCAAGTAGCTGGAGCTACAGGTGTGTGCCACCATGCCTGGCTCTTTGTTTTGTTTTTTTTTGTTTGTTTGTTTGTTTTTAAGAGATGGAATTTCATTATGTCAAGTGATCCAAATGTCTCGGCCTCCCAAATTGCTGGGATTACAGGCATGAGCCACCACGAGAGGCCAGATTGATCTTTTTAAACACCACTTGGAAGCACAGAATCTTAGAATTCGGAGGACCCTTAGAGGTCATCTAGTCTAAATCCCTCCCAGTGCAGGACTTCACTCTGTAAATTGTTTTGTTGTTGTTTGGTGTATGTGTCTTTTTTTTTTTTTTTTTTTGAGACAGAGTCTCACTCTGTTGCCCCGGCTGGAGTGCAGTGGTGCAATCTTGGCTCGCTGCAACCTACGCCTTCAAGGTTCAAGTGATCCTCCTGCCTCAGCCTCCTGAGTAGCTGGAACTACAGGCATGTGCCACCAAGCCTGGCTAATTTTTGTATTTTTTGTAGAGACGGGGTTTCGCCATGTCACCCAGGCTGGTCTCGAACTCCTGGACACAAGTGATCCACCTGCTTGGGCTTCCCAAAGTGCTGGGATTACAGGTGTGAGTCACCACCCCTGACCCTACTTTGTGAATTGTTATTCAGCTTTTGGTGGCATTTCCCTAAAGAGATGGTATCCATTCTCCCCCAAGACAGTATATTCCACTGTGATCAACACTGATGAATCCAAAGTTTCTCCTTCTACTGAATTTTCACTCTGTCTCTTATTGTCAATCCTGAGGAACCAGTCAGAGGCAGCTAGGATGGGGGAATAAAATCACCAGATGAAAAGAAAACTTAAGAGAAATGATATCCCAGTAGCAATGAGCACACTTAGCACCCAGATCTTGGTTTCTAATACAATTTTCCAATAAAAGGAACCAGGGCTCCCTGGACTACTAGCTGATTCTAGGACAGGGTAGGAAACACACAGGATGAGTCTAGAGCATCTTGAGGTGTCAAAAAGTAAGGAAGTGCTCAAAACAACAACCACACTCACATATTGATGGGGTTAGCTGGGTGCAGTGGCTCATTCCTATAATCCCAGCACTCTGAGAGGCTGGAGTGGGCAGATCACTTGAGCCCTAGGAGTTTGAGACCAGTCTGGAGAACAGGGCAAAACCCCATCTTTACAAAAAATACAAAAATTAGCCAGGTATGGTGGCATGCACCTGTGGTCACAGCTACTGGGAAGGGTCGCTTGAGCCGGGCAGGTTGATGCTGCAGTGACTCGTAATTGTGCCACTGTACTCCAGCCTGGGTGGCAGAGTAGAGACTCTGTCTCAAATAAACAAAAAACAAACAAAAAGCAGAAAAAAGGAAAAAAATAAACATATTGATGAGGTTATGTCAAAGGGAAATAAGAGCCAACTGAAAAAGCTCCCAATGGTCAAAGCTGAAACAATTTGAGGAACAAAGTAAGTAAAGCGTATTAGATTATAACCCCAAAGTATAAGATAAACGTCTGTGAGTCCATAGTGATATAAATAAATGACTGAACTTATTTAAATGGAGGAGAAAAGACAAATCTCTCATGTAGAATTCCAAATAAAATATGTAGACACACCATCCTAAAAGGGAGAAGGGCAGCATAACTCCCCACTTTTTTTTTTTTTTTGAGACGGAGTTTCGCTCTTATTGTCCAGGCTGGAGTACAATGGCGCGATCTCGGCTAACGGCAACCTCCACCTCCCGAGTTCAAGCGATTCTCCTGCCTCAGCCTCCCAAGTAGCTGGGACTAC